TTTTAGCATGATAAAAAGTAAAGTAAATGTCCGTCGAGCCATAAGCAATTTACTCTGAGCAGCTAATCGGATGCTACGGATCTAGCTTCAGTATCTACACACATAGACAGTGAGGTCTATGTGGCCTCTTGGCCAATCGGAGGCCAGGATGATGCTCGGTAAGCCAATAGCAGAGCAGCTATGAGTATGTTGAGCCCAGGAAACTCGCAGCTGTGACCGAAATAAACATCGTTCACTATGTAAACCAGTGTGGTGGTTGCTGTTGCCTTTTTTCGAACGAAGCAGTAGAGGTCGCTGTTGGATAAGACTTCGTTGTAGTGAATGTCTTCGCGAGGCTGGAGCAGACAAAATGATTTCGTATAACGCAACAGGGGGTTTTTCGTCGTATGGGGGGCAGGAGAATGGGAATTGTGTTAATGCATGAAGATTTTTTCACATAAGGGGGTATTTTCGCCCATGTAGGTTTCGTTCTAGAGGAGTTTCACTGTAGTATTATTTTATTTTTATTAATGTCCTAAAATATCTATTTAGTTTTCTCCCAGGTGAGTTTCCCAGGTCACAGTGATGATTCTGGTCACGCTGATTTTTTAACCACACTTATTCCCAAATACAGACCAGTCAAGAACATCAAAGGTAGGCAAGGAAAATGTTGCTTTACAGAGATGTGGCATTGCATCAACCTTATTTTAAAAAAATCCCTCCACATATACTATACTCAGAAAAAGTTTGGGATATTTGGCTTTCAGGTAAAATTAATGGAAAATGTAAAAAGTTCACACGACAGCGATGTCATATGAAAGTAGAACATTGAAGTAGAAGGATGCACTGGTGATTTCATCATCTCAAACAATTCGTTGAAACAAAAATTAACACCAATGGTGGGTACACCACAACAAAAAATCTCAACGTCTCAATAACTCATCACGTGCCCCATGACAATGTAGCGGTCATCAGCATGGGATGTGGCCAAAGAACGTCCACTTCTACATCTCTGTGTGACTCTTCCAGTCTCTCGTTATCTCTGTTGCAACCTGCTGATGACACTCTATGACATTCTAAGCTCAGTGGCCACTTCCTGTCTGAGAACAAACATCCGTTTGAAGCATCACAACGGCAAGGTTCTGTTGATCCATTGGTAGGCGTCGTCTTGGTCTCATGATGGCAAAATGTGACAAGCATGATGAGGACGACTTTTTAAACACCAGCTCTAACTGAACCAGGACATTTATTGATCGATTCAAGGACGCCGGTTGTGAATTTTGCCGTTAAGCTCCTCGGTAGAGAACAGCCACCTGTGCAAAAAGTACCGAAATATATCAACAGTTGGAAATGTGCATTCAAAAACTTAGAGAAGGTCTCAGTAAGTTCACTTATAAACGTATGAAAGCATTTTGTTCGCCCAAAAGTCAAATATCCCTAACTTTTTTGTGAGTAGTATACATTTTGTAAGTTTCAAGCCAAGTCAGAATTAAACTCAAAATATTGGCCACCTGGCAATCATGGTTAAAATTCTTCATATTTTATATTATATATATCCTTCATTTTTCTGCTTTGCGCAGATTAAAAAATTATTCATCAAAAAGGAATTGCTTCAGAAATTGTCTTCTAGGACAGGAGAATTCCAGACAAAACATTTTAAAACCATTTAAAAAGTCGAATCATGTACTGTACATTTAATCATGCAGAAGACGGTAGCACTGATGTTCCACCGCTGGAGGGACCTGGCTTGAAATGAGTGTCTCATGGTTTTTTTTTTTTTTAATTTCAAGTTTGCACAAGTTCTTCTTCCAAGCTGTTAAGTTTTGTAAATGTCTGTCTGTCTGTGATCAGTTGTGCTTCACAGAGCCGCTTCTATTGTACTCATAGTGGATGCAGAACTTCAACTTGGTCAGCATTGAGGTGGAGAATTGATGTAAATCGGAAAAAATTTGCACTGAATTCTTGTTGTGCTGAATAAGTGTAAAGCTATCCTAAAGTACAGTGTACTGACTCAAAGGAGTTGAAGGGTTGCAGAATATAGAGTGTACACCATATTTCACATACTCTCTTTGTTGATGACGGTTTCAAACTAGCTCGCGAGCTGGGTCAGCGAAGGCTTTTCACAATTGTTCTCACTGATGCTCTTTTCATTGTCAGGACTATCAGGGTCAGCAAATACTTGCTCCAACACAAAGGACAGGGATGTGCGTTGTGCATCCCAACACTCCCACAAACTTTGATTGGCGATGACCTGGAGAATGTCTTTGACGGCTTTAGCCTATCGTGACATGCAGCAAAGCTGACCTGAAACAGAATTTACAAACACAAGAAAGGTTGAGTTTAATACCCAGTGGACCAACAAATATTCATGCATTGAAACTTCTCAAGGCAGACCGATGTCTTTGCGCTGTTACCAAGTCAATCCAGTCCCAAAAGAATACGACCTTCGGAGGCCCTTCATCACAACCCATGACAAGTTTGATCCCAACTATCCCCCCCGGTTCAAATTTACGCAAGGAAAATATTAAAAACCTAATTGAAAACTCTAATAAAACACGCCGTAACTTGTATCGGGCTTACACAGTCCAGGAGGGAGCAACTGCAGCTTCTGTCTGTGTTGCATGGATCCTTGGCAAGAAATTTAAAAAAAACATTCACAAATGCGGAGATGATAAAAGAATGCATACCTGCTGCTGTTGAGGAGGTTTGTATATATTTCGTTTCCCATTTAACTCCACTATGATTGAATTGCATAGTACATCCATGCTGTTAGTAAAAATGACCTTCAGTCATTAATTCATTCAGGTGGTGACGGGCGATAAAGTGAAAGAACAAGTCAATACCCAAGTCAAATATAACAACCCTCACGCCCTTTGAACCCTCTTGCCCAGTGAAAGAAGTGCAGACCTTCACGTTAGTTGCCTCTGTGTGTAGTCTAGGCCTGTCCCCTTTTTGAGAGTTAAAGAGAGTACAATGAGTGTGCCTTGAGCTGCTGTGATATGCCGCTGTTGTGTGTGTGTGTGTGTGTGTGTGTAATGTGACTGATGGAGTTCAGTTCCCATTCAGAGATGGTGGCAATCAGTTCAGGGCATTCTCTGCCTTGTGTTCTAAATCAATGCGCTCAACGCCCCGCCCCCTCCCAAAAAACAGTGTTTAGAAAATGGATGGATATTTACAAAACTTTTTTTTTCTCTTTAATAGCTCACGCAATCAATTTTGCCCGCAAAGCCAAAAATGTAATGCAGAGATACAAAGTACTCAAGAGTGACTTCTTGGTAACTTGTTTTGACTGTATGAGTTTGTGCATGTGTTTAGGTGAGATGTCATTGCCAGCTCATGTCAAGCCTTCCAAAATCGTTCCTGAGGTATCGCTGGAGAGCCAGGAAGACACATATATTCAGATGGAGCTGCGGATGTTGGAACACGCCCTGCTTGTCACCTGTGTGGGCAGCATTGCAGAACTCAGTAAGTGTGCGTGTGTGCTGGGGGGTTGGGGTGGGGTTCTGTGCTTGTGCCGCTATCATTACAGTTAGTTTCTGTGTTTCGTGTATGTTTATTTAAACTGTGACCAGTGGTAGCCTCATGATCTTTAACCTGCCAACACCCACACAATTCATAACAGTATAGGGCTTGTGGCCAGAATGAAACAAGGGCACCTTCACACCATGCAGGCCACAGCATTTCATTATCTCATTTCAGGGTTTTTTTTGTTCGTCCTACCCATTTCGATGCCTTTGCAATTCAAAGTTGTTTATTTGGCTTGTTATATTGTCAATGGCTTACCATTACAACATTGTTTTGCCTCACTTCTGTTGTAAATTATTTGTAAAATTGGACTTCAGCCATCAAGTAAGATAAGAAAACCATTATTTGTCTCACAATGGAGAAATTCCGGATTTACAGCAGCAATATTATGAATGAATGAGTAGAAGAACAAAAAGTATATAAATAATATAAACTACAAAAATATAGATACAGTATAAGCATATTAAAAATGGGTGAGTGGGGGTGAGTCCAAGTTTTCAGGTCTGGAACGAGCAGCGATACCTCTCCTTGCAGCGCGGGCGTATCAGTCTCTGGCTGAAGGAGCTGCCCAGTGCTGTCAGGGTGGGCTGGAGCGGATGGGAGGGTCTGTCCACACCTGTTAGCTTAGCTAGCATCCTCCTGTTGCCCACCTCCTCCAGAGTGTCCAGGGAGCAGCCCAGGACAGAGCTGGCCCTGTACTCCCGATCATCTCCGCCCGAAATGTGGCCGACGATCGCGGAGTCGTCAGAGAACTTTGTTCGTGTTTGTGTGCCCTGCGATTGGCTGGCAACCAGTCCAGGGTGTCCCCTGCCTACTGCCCGAAGACAGCTGGGATAGGCTCCAGCACCCCCCGCGACCCTTGTGAGGATAAAGCGGATCGGAAAATGGACGGATGAATGGCTATCCAATGGACTTTTCCATCAAATAATTGAGGAATCAAAAGGATTTGCACCGGCACCCTCACTCAGTGACAGTGTGGTATTGTGTGCCTTTCTACTGACCGGTGACCAGTTCGCAAAAGTCAGCTTGGTTACGCCGAGCAGGATAGCAGGATAAGCTGTGTTGAAAATGGGTGGATCGATGAATGGAAGTTTATTGACACTGGAAATAACTGTGTGAACAGCTGACTTTTCTCCAATTATTCCTAAAACATGTCATGCTTTTGTTCAGGTGATCTGGTGTCTCGAGCGATGCACCACATGCAGCGTCTACGAAGTTCAACTTCTTCCATTAGTCCTCCTCGCTCAGCCAATCAACTCTCAGTGTGCTGGGCCACTGATTCCCTTCGCACACTCTACTACTTCCTGTCCAGCCAGCAGATGGAATCACTGGAAAATCCAAATGTCGAACTTCCATTGAGGATGTTGAGAAGAGAGAGGTGTGTTATTTTGTACGTTATAATATAACGTTATATGTATTGTACGCACATAATAGTCCAGAAGTACATCAGGTACTATGGCACAGTCCGGCTGTGATCCATGGCGGCCAATTTTTCAACTCTGTGACAACGCCTGCAAAAAGACATCTGTTAAATTGATTATGATTTTTAGTTATCATACATTTGCATATTATTAATGATGAATTGATTATGCTTGCAATGAAGAACGATTATGCCTGCAATGAAAAATTGATTATGCCTGCAATGAAGAACGCTTATGCTTTTAATAAAGATAGAATTATGCTTTTCATAAAGATATGCTCACATGTATAATAAAGAATGCTAAGTGCACTCTGTGACAGTTGAGCGACACAACCACCTTTCCGAGAAAGTGGTTGGGAAGAGATAAGGTAATAAGACAAAACAAGAACAAGGTCGGACGTGGATGGAGCTGTCAACAACAGCTGCAACCAACTTGGTGTTTTTGTAATGATTACACACTGACACGTATGTACCTAATTTTCACTCACATACACACACACACACATAGTCATACACATTCAGTGCGTCTTCAACAACTCCTACCCTTTAGGTTGGACACAACCATGTATTAGATTTCCAATGAGAAATAAATGAGAGGGCGAGCAGGGGTTCAGGTATCCACAATCAAATTTAAGTTGTTACATGGACAATCTTACTGCACCAACCTGTTCTGGACTGCATGGTGGCATGGTCCAAAATTAACTTTAGGCCAAAGTAATCCAGTTGTATCATTATTAGGGACTAATAGGTGCAAAATGCAGCAAAACGTTGTGGGAAAGTGGAATGATGATGACCTTAATAACATGAGTAGAAAGGAAGATCAAGAACGAGTACTTATCTGTGAAGTTGGTTGGGAATCAAGATTGCACCAACTTCCTCTGTCATCTATAGTGAAGGAAGTTAAGATATCTAAGTTCTGAGCTGAAATGACCGTGACTCCCAGGAGGAAAAATAGGCCCTGGAGAAGGAAGGAACAAATTAGCATCCAAGGGAGATTGGTTTAAATGTGATAAAATCGGATGGATGAGACACAATGGAGGGGGGACGAATGGGCAAATGGGACTTGCTGAGGTTGCAAGGGCAAATTTGTCAACCATGAAAAAAATTGTCCAGAAGACAAGATCAAAACATCAATATTGACTTTTTTTTCCCATTAAATTCTAACATCTTCCAGGCCATTTTTGCTGCGTCCACCTCTCATTGAGTGGATTCGTGTGGCTCTGGTGCATGCTGAACATCGTTGCAGCCCGATAGTGGATAGCGATGATGTCAGACAGACAGCCCGGCAGCTTCTACCTGGATTGGACTGTGAACCAAGACAGCTTAAGTAAGACATACGCATTTATAAATTACACTCTCCCACCATGATCATTTTGCATGCGACAAAGGCTGACCTTCCCAGAGATTACATTGCCTGTGAAGGAAACAACAAGAACAAAATAACAAACAATTTTGAAAAAATATTTGGCACCAGCAACATAGATGCTGTCTCATATATGGAAAAGCAATTACCCAGGATCAACTGCATATTTCTTGTTCCAGTTTCATGGACAGGTGTCAAAATGTCTGCATATACGTACATCATGGTGTTCTCTGTATCAGAAGTAGCTGACCTCCAACGTTTTGCTTTTATAATCAAAACACTGTCAAATATATCAATTCCAACTTTGACTAAACTCTGTATTTGTTTGTTTGTTCCGTGCAGGTTGGAGTATTGTTTACAGTCATTTAAGTGTCTAGGTGCAGAAGCGGCTTCCATGAAGTTCCAGATGGATCTAGGCTTTAAAATGCTGTCGTGTGGCAGAGCAGATCTAATCCACACAGCCACACAGCTTCTGGGAGCTCAGGGAGTTGATACCATGGATGATCAGGTGGGGAGAGTTTGCGCTAAGACCTTGGAAAGAAATTGAGCTGTGCGCCACAGGTATCGAGAGGCAGTGAGTTGAAGATCATATGAAAACCCACAATGGTCCCAGAAATTACTTGAAATTGATAAAATTGGTATTGGTCAAAATGTACATTCACAAGAAGCAACAATGAGCCCACAATAGCCACATAAGCCGTGCGTTTATAGACACAGACACAGACACAGAAAAAGCAGGGCAAGGCAGAGTTATTTACATTGTATGGTGCATTTCATTGACAATGCTTCACATACTTAAAAAACAACATTTAAGGGCAAAATATTTGAAGAGACGTTTAAAAAAAGGGAAACATGAAAGACATGCAAACGCAAACTAGACAAATAAAAGGTTGTTTATTAAAATTACTAAAAGAAAGTATAGTGTGAGAATATGATGATGGAAAATTTGATTGTAGAAATGCTCTAAAAGACTGCTCTTAAAATTGCTGGTTCAAAAATAACCCAAACTGGGTTATTTGGGTAACCCTACACATTCCTAATCCACTGACACAGCCAGTGGTTGTTATGAATCAATTGGTCTGGATTAAATGTGATTTTGCTGTTGGGGTAATATGACCCCCCACAGCCCCCCCCCCCAAAAAAAATTAAGAAAAACACATTTTCTGGCCCCCGTTGTGATACAGCATCTCAATTGAAGTATTGCCACTTGGGGATATTTAATAGACATAGCTGCGTATCAACTGCATAGCCACGATAGCTAACATTAGCATTCTGAAGATATTCACCAATGGCTAACATATGCAGGCTGAACAAAAAATGGTCCTAGGGCTGACCCTTGAGGCACACCAGATATCATGGCCATGTAATCAGATTTAAAACTTCCAAATGTCACAGTGACTCTGTCCTTCAAAGTAAGACCTGAACTGTTTTAGGGCACTTCCATTTAGTTCTACTCAATTTTCCAACCTGTCCAACAGCATCATCTTCTGTATCAAACGCTGCTACGCCTTTCCTGCCTCAGTCTTTTAGATCTTCTAGTACATCGGTGTCAAACTCAGGTCATGGAGGGCCGCTGTCCTGCATGTTTTCCAAGTCTCCCTGTTGCAACACACCTGATTCAAATGAACAGGTTCAATGTCAGGCTTCCGCAGAGCTTGCTGATGATCTGATCATTTGAATCAGGTGTTTTGCAACAGGGAGACTTGGAAAACATGCAGGACAGCGGGCCTCCAGGACTTGAGTTTCTTTTCCCTGTTCCAGTACTTTAAGAAGAGCTCTCTTGAGTGGGATGAGGCCTGAAAACTGATTTCTATTTTTCAAAAACATCATTTAAGTTCTAGAAATTGTTGTGTTGATTTAAAAAACACTTTCTGAACAATCTTGGTTAAGAGGGGGGTGTTTCAGATTGGGCTTTCATTTGCTAACAGCTAGGCATCCAACAATGATGGCAGCTACTTTCACGAGTTTAGGAATCTAAGGAACACTGCACAGCTGAGGGTGTCATCACTCTATCCAAGGTGGAGTAAAATCTCAAGGCAATAAGTGGCTCAGATCCTGTCTTCGGGTAGTAGGTGGGGTACCTACTCTCAACTGGTTGCCAGCCATTCACAGGGCACACATAGACCAACAACTATTCGCACTCACAATCACACCTAGAGACAATTTAGAGTATTGCAGTAACCTGCCAAGTTTTTGGCACGTGGGAGGAAACCGGAGTACCCAGAGACAACCCACGCAGGCAGATCATGCAAACTCCACACAGAAAGGCCGGAATTGAATCCTGCACCTCTGCACTGTGAGGCGGACGTGCTAAACAGTCGACCACCGTGCCACCCAGATAAATAGATAGATAAATTATAGAGGAACAATTTACCTTGACGCACGACACACTGGGTTGCGCCTTGTGCGCAGTCTGAATGATGGACACAGAGTCGGAGCGCTTTTGCTGTCAAGACTAAGAAGCCATCCTAATTGTTTAGCGAACCTAAAGCGGCTGGCTCGTTTAACACCGGAATAGTGTGCTTGGCTGATTGAGTACACTCGAGACACATCTGTGTCGAACTGCGTTTAAGAGGATAGCGTTCATTTTGAAAGGACAAACAGCAGGCAAATAATAATAAGAAGAAGAAGAAGAATCTGGACTCTGGAGAGAAAGTCCTTGATTAACAGAAACTGAAATAAAATAAGTTCCGTTAATGTCTGGAGGAGTGGCCTTTAAGGTTAATAGTATATTCATATAGTATTATGTCAGATATTTATACATCAATCATGTTATTTGTTTGTTTTCACAATAGAGTCCTGAGTTTTAATTTTTTGACTTTTGACAGATGCACAATTAATGTTCTCAAAATGACATTATAGTTAGATCTTAAAAAAAAAAAAAAAAATCAATTTCGCTGTGTTCCTTCACAAAAAAAAAATACAATTTGCTGATATACACATTGTGAATCTAAGAAATAAAAATTGTTCATTTGTTATATTGTCATTTATTGTTTTCTAAAACCCATGATTCAGGTCCTTGGGATTTACTTGCAAAAAAAAAAATCAATTTAGCTGTGTTCCTTCACAAAAAAAAAAATACAATTTGCTGATATACACATTGTGAATCTAAGAAATAAAAATTGTTCATTTGTTATATTGTCATTTATTGTTTTCTAAAACCCATGATTCAGGTCCTTGGGATTTACTTGCAAAAAAAATGCTCCCTAAAATTAGAAAGTTGCTCCTCAAATGAAGTTATTGCTTACAAAAACTTCTCCTCAAAGAAAATAAAATGCCATCATACAATATAATACATCTTTACTTATACAGCGCTTCCACAACAGCTGCAGCTCTAACATAGGTAATAAGTCAAGACATTTTTTTTTCGTTTTTATTATGAAAAGTATCACTGTCAAATCAAAATTGAGAATACGGTCTCCCTAGAAATGCATGGCTGGAGATCATCACAGTATATCACACTGGGCACTTAAAATATGAGTGTGTGTGTTTGTTTGTGTTTGTAGGGAATGACTCCTTTGATGTACGCTGCGTCTGGAGGAGACGAGGCTCTGGTGCAGATGCTCATAAATGCTGGGGCTAACTTGGATTTGCAGGTAGAAAAAGTGACTATTGGTGCTCCTACACATTCTTCCTGCACCCGTGGAGTAATGTCTGAACACTCTGCAATGTTGCTGTTGTACAGGTCCCCAGCTGCTCTGTCAGAAACCCATCTGTCCACCCCAGCAGTCGACACTGGGTAGCTCTAACTTTTGCTGTGCTGCACAGTCACCTGTCTGTCACTCAGGTTAGATTTTTTTTTTTATTCTGGATTAAAATGGGTTATCTATTCTATTTACCCACTTATTTTCTTGAGCTACCAAGGCCTTGCCAAAAGGTCAGATGATATGTCGTTGGCATGTTGTATAGTAGGCATCAAGGTTTAACGAGTGCCTAGCAGGTTTGCCACAGTGAGCTTCCTGGTTCAAATCTTGGCTGAGGCCGGCCTGTGACCAGTTTGCGTGCTCTCCCTCATACTTGTGGCGGTTTTCAAGGGGTACGCTCGCTTCCTCTCACATTCTTAAAACATGCATTTAATTTCACTGAAGACTCTAAATTGTCTGTATGTACTCTGTGACTGATTTGCCACTAGTCCAGGGTGTATGCTGCCCTTTGCCCACTACAGTCGATTTTGATAAACTTAAACTATGATGATTCCCCCTCAATCTGCAGGACAATTACTTCAGTATTGATTACAAATATCTATGTCACTCACTTTTAGTGACAAACAGAACAATTAACCCTTTGAGGGACAGCGGTTACTACAGTGGACAGTTTACCATGTTATCAGGTTACAGTGGACATGAAAGGGTTAAATACAATATAAATACAGTCGATCGCAGAAGGTGTATTTACCCCGTGTATCCACCTGTTGTGATTCAAATAACAGAATGAGTTTTGTCTTCCTGCTTTATGTTCAAATAAACAGGCCTCGGTTTGATACTTTACTGTGAGTAAAGTGAAAGGAATTCATCATTGTTTCAGGATTCGTACACTGCAAATGCATCTATGTTAATTTAATACCTTGGGGTTTTAATTTTGCCACCATCAATCAAGTGTCTCGATGCATCCACACTACCCTCTGTCAGAGTAACATTTACAAATGTGTGAAACGTTCAACACGCATCGGAATGTCGTGTTGACAGTGATGTCATAATGACACTATAGACTAGAGTGTTTCGATTCATACGCAGTGTTCATGCCAACACTATTCAACATGGGGAAAAAACACACTAGGTAGGCCTCACTACCGAAAATAAAACACATTACTAGATTTCAGTTGAAAACATTCAACGTTAGTTTTCGACCTTGCCACTTACATGCAGTGATCGCTCCAGATTCTCGGAACATTTCAATGATATTTTGGACCGTCGATGATGGAATCCCTAAATTCCTTGCAATTGTATGTTCAGAAACATTGTCTTTGAACTGTTCTATTTTCTCACATACTGTAGGTGTTCACAAATAGGTGAACTTCACCCCATCATTGCTTCTGAATGACTGAGCAATTCAGGAAATCTCCTTTCATCATGGTACCCATCTGTTCCCAGTCAGCCTGTTTACCTGTGGGATGTTCAGTGCCAAATGAGCATTCCTCAACTTCGTCTTTTTGCCAGCTGTCGCAGCTTTTTAAACTAGAGCCATAAAATTGAATATTAATCATTATTTGCTAAAAACAATAAAGTTTATCAGTCTAAACATTCAATATCGTCAATAGTGTATTCAATTAGATATCGGTTGAACAGGATTTGCAAATCAATGTACATTCTTTATAGTGTATTCAATTAAATATCGGTTGAACAGGATTTGCAAATCAATGTACATTATTCTGTTTTGATTTATGTTTAACACAAGGTCCCAACTTCATTGGAATTGGTTTGTACTTGGCGATGCTACTGCAGTGGAAAAGGACATAGCCGATCCACCACATCAATGCGAGCCTGACAATGAGCGAACGAGCGTGTCTGCATAAACAGAAACATCAATAATGTAAAGGAGATTCTGTTCCTGTTGTCCCCGTGGTAGCTATTGCTGGAGGCCGGAGCCGATGTGGAGGGTGCAGTCCTGTTGGATGGGAGGGAGAACTCTGCTGAGACGCCGCTGCAGCTTGCTGCTGCTGCAGGTACTGAAATTAACGTAACCCTCGCCAGTGCAGAGGTTCAGGGTTCAATTCCGACTCCAGCCTTCCTGAGTGGAGTTTGCATCTTCTACCCATACCTGTACGGGTTTTCTCCAGGTACTCTGGTTTCCTCCCATATTCCAAAAACATGCATGGCAGGCTGATTGAACACTCTAATCAGGGGTGTCAAACTCATTTCACATGGTGGGCCACATACGGCCTCGGTAGATGTCAAGTGGGCCGGACCATTAAAATGATACCATACTTTGCTATAAATAACCAAAACAATATGTCTTTCCTTTGTTTTGGTATAAAGAAGCACAAGAACATTAGGAAAATGTTGAAATTTAATGAACATATCTTTTACAAAACATTTCATGAAGCACCTTACATTTCCTTCGACAAATGTGCAATTTACTTTTATCATTCACATATATGCATTGCAACTGATCCCACTGATTGTACAAACTTTAACAAGTAATTGGTATTGAAAAATATAGTAATGCACTTTAAGATTAAACGAGATTTATAAAGAAAGGAAGTTTTAAACCATTTACACGTGCATATAAAATCTAAATGTAATCCCTGCCTACACCTTACAAACTAAGGAGAGTGCTATTAAATGTGTAAATGTGAGAATGCTATTGATAGCGTCTGCTGTCATGGGTCTGTCTCAGTGATGGACTGAGGCTGCTGTTGTCTTCTTCTCTGATCAAAACAGTGTCCACTTGCGGATACTCAATGAATTGCACCTTATTAAAAATATTAATTCTGTGTCTTTAATGCATTTTTTTCACTTTTAAATTATCCTGCGGGCCTGATTGAACCTCCTTGCGGGCCGGTTCCGGCCCGCGGGCCGTATGATTGACACCCCTGCTTTACATAATCATCTCGTGGGCCGGATTAAACTCCTTTGCGGGCCGGATCCAGCCTGCGGGCCGTATATTTGACACCACCGCTCTAAATTGTCCATAGGTCTGAGTGTGAGAGAGAATGATCTGTTCGTTTGTGTGTGCCCTGCGACTGGCTGACCACCGGTTTAGGGTGTCCACCGCCTACCACCCGAAGACAGCTGGGATATGCTCCAGCACTCCCCGCGACCCTTGTGAGGATAAACGGATCAGAAAATGGATGGTTGGATGATGGATGGATGGATAGATAGTTAGCGACAACCAGACACTTTATTCATCCATAAGGGAAATATGTGTGGTTGCTCCATTAATGATTACGTTGTTATAAATTAGGGGAAAAAAAGAGGTTTATATTAGACATATACAGGTATGTGCCAATTTGAAATAATGTCCTATTTCTTGAATCAAGGGATAGAAATTAAAACGTGATTTAAAAAAAAATCTCATTCATCTACTTTGTACTAAATAACTGACAGATTACGGTATATTAAAATAATCCTTAGTTCAAGACCGATGATACGATTATATGATTATTTTAATAATTTTGTAGATGAATCTGATTGAAAAAAAACATGTTTTAATTTCCTTCCCTTTATGCATAAAACAGGTCATTATTTAAAATTGACAGCATAGAAAATGCACCAACAAAATGATCATATTTTAGTCCATAACATGTCAGAAAATGGGCAAAAATGTCAACCACTGTTTTCCAAAGTAAAAGTTAAGATTTGATTTAGATTTAATGCAAGTCTGTTTTTATGACGGACTGTAGAACCTGGAGAGTAAGTTACTGTTGAGAAGCTGAAATTCTGCTAATCGATTAGTTGTCAGCTAATCGATTAATCATTTTTGGACAGTATATGTACTGGCTGGCGAATACAGCATAATGTATGAGAGGATAAAATCTTTAATATTCACAACACGTTTAATGTCTCGGTATGAATTGCTTAGTTTTGGCCTGGTACCAAAAATAGATTTTTCGATATTGCTATTCTAGGTCACTATGAGATGGTGAGTTTATTGCTCAACCATGGAGCAGATCCTTTGCTCAGAATGCATCATGGGAGCTCTTTACCATCACCTCTGTATGAGGAGATGAACTGCTTCAGCTATGCGGCTGCACACGGACACCGGTGAGACATTGACCTTTTTTTTTGGCCTTGTAATAATATGGACATGCCTACTATTTAAATTTTACCCCCACATAGTTTCCAACGTTTCCATATCACACCTGATGTCCATGATACATCGGTGATCAGATCAACTTTCTGCTTTTGTCTAGAAACGTTTTGAGAAGACTGCTGCTCCAACCACAGCAGAGGAAGGAGGACATCCTTTCTCTGGAGGAGATCCTCGCTGAAGGAGTAGAGGAGACACCCATTCCAATGGGGTTTCCTGTTCCCGACTGCTCAAAAGCCATCCCGAAACTATGTAAGGCCAGGATGAAAGCCCTTCAGCAAGCAGCATACTACAGTGCAGAGCATGGTTACCTGGACATTACCATGGAGCTACGAGAAATGGGTGAGCACATGAAGAGAACCTCGGTATGCTCGAGCCCCGAAAGCTTCTTTTGCATTTGTTTCACATAAATTTACTTTCACTCATTTGTCCTGTGTATTAGTACACCCCAGGACGATGATCTCGAAAATTGATTTTCATTCCACAAGTATCACAAGAACCGTGAGGTGCCTACTCAGTCCTCAGGAAAATGCAGCAGAATAACAACACTCTGTGGTTTGGTCAATCATTTGCACACATACCAGGACCATAATAAGTAGTAGCACATAATAAAAGTAAAGGAACCAGCAATATCCATCCATTCATCTATTTTCTGAACCGCTTCATCCTCACGAGGGTCTCGGGGCGTGCTAGAGTCTATCCCAGCCGTCTTCGGGCAGTAGGCGGAGGGCACCCTGAAACCGGACGCCAGCCAATCGGAGTAAAATCATAAACGATGTATGTGGCATATTTTGTCCAGGTGTGCCCTGGAGGCTTCACATCTGGCTGGAGTCCCTCCGCAGAGCTCAGCAACTGTCCCGGGATGAAGTCATCATTTCTCTCCTAACAGAATTCCGCTCCATAAGAAGCGAGGACTACACCCCCGAACTGGTGTCAAAGGGCATTCCGCTCATGTTCAACATGCTTGAAAACAGTAAGGTACATGCTTCTTATTTATTATTATTATCTCCATTATTAAACATTGTTCATAAATTCAACTTGACTGTGTGAATTCCATCTCCAGGACTATGTTATAACCAAAAGGCTGGCGTCTGTTATTTCTCATTGCTACGGCTTTTCCGCTGTTCCTGCCATCCCACCGATTGACGTCACACAGTCAACACAACTTGGTACTCTCCCACTGCAAAATTATTATCAGAATTTACCTAAGGGTTAAATGTTGCCCCTGTCCACAGATCTTCATTTCCTGAATAACCGTGAAATGTCTGATGTAACGTTCATGGTGAATGGACGCCCATTCTTTGCTCACCGGGTGTTGTTGATGTCGGTTTCGGAACGGTATGATTCCTTTGTTTGTTTGTGTTTTTTAATCGACTACACAATGTCATTTTGTGACTTAACCCTTGTCAGTTAATATTGTATGAAATGCCTCTAATCATTTTTCAACAAAATTTTGACGCTGTAAAGTAAGTACTGGTTATGTAATACATACATGTGACAACAATTTCTTTTACTCTTCATCCTATTCTTATGTTTGTGGTCAGGGTTGTAAAATATTGTGCAAAATGATAACCTGTAACGTGATTTTGAATTTTGAATTGAAGCATTGTACACAAGTTTGGAAGTTCCTGTTTCTTTCAGATTATTTTTCCTGGGTGCCATCATTTTCTAGAATATAATGGGAATGTAGAAACTCCATATATTGATTTAGAAATGTGGACATTTTCTTGAATCTACATTGAATGATCATTTATGGTTTCAGAAAACTAACGAATGACTTTTGTCAAGACAGGTTCCGACAAATTCTGAGCAACTCCCTTGACAACGTCATCCACATCAGTCACATGACCTACAGCATTTTTCAGGTAGATTGTCATTCGCTTATGTTTTTAGTCATTGATAGTTATTGACTGACTGTACTTGACTAGCCACATTACCTGCTGCCACGTTGTGTGTATCTCCACAGACAATGATGAGATCTCTCTATTGTGGCGGGACCGAGGGGCTGACTGTCTCACTTTCTGAAGCCAGGAAGGTAAAGTAGCTGAGCGTTTTACTTGCTGTAGTGTTGCAAGTCCTCACAACGGCTATGCAAATTTGTTTTCCAAAGCTAGAAATAAACGAGCAAAAAGAACAGTTTTGCTGTAATCTGGAAACAAATCTCCCATCATATTTCATTTTTGTTAAAACCACACCTTGATCAAAACTGCATCTTTACCTTTCTGTCAAATACAATACATACACATATCTTAATTTTTAAACGACATTTGTTACCTCAGTGTGCAGGAGGTAACCTGGAGTTCTGTATAATCTCACCCTTTGAATTTAGTGCAGATTGGGATGGTAGATTCAGGAATGAGAAAATTCAAATCTACTAAAGATCCATCCATCCATTTTTTGATCCACTTTATCGTCACAAGGGTCGCGGGGTGTGTGACCTGAACCGGTTGCCAGCCAATTGCAGGGCACACATAGACGAACAACCATTTGCACTCACAGTCACACTTAGGGACAATTTAGAGCAGGGGTGTCAAAGTCAAATGGACGGAGGGCCAGATAAAAAATTTTGCTGCAAGCCGAGGGCCGGACTGATCGAATGTTCATTGAAAATTTTAAAAATGACCACATATTGTTTATTGAACCAAATTTAATTGACTGAAAACCTAACAAATACATTCCAATATGGTCAGATAAATAAAGCAACATTTTTTATGGCTATGTCAGTAAACTTTAATTTTCAACAGGCACAAAAAAATTTCCTTTGTATAAAAATACCCATAACATGAATGAAAGAAGCCGATATTATTCAAGGCACGTATTTTCTCTTTTAGCAAAAGTAGGCTAAATTTACTTAAAAGAAAAACAAATAATAGTGCAGTAATTTTCGATCATTTACTCGAAACAAATATTTTTAAAACATAATTGGATTGAAATACAATAAAATAAAGTGCAAAAATGTACAAACCAAAAACAACACTTTCTTCAAGAAGTAACAAGCAGCGAAAGCAAATATTATACTTTAATTTTTAAACATGAATTGAGTAAAAACTCAAAAATATGTGATTGCACAGTATATTATAAGTAATATTCACTTCTTTGAGGCTGAGGCTGATACTCGGTGGTGTCTTAACTTTTCTACAAGTTCATCAATATTTGGGGTCAGGCTCTGAGCTGAGCAAATCCTCAAAAT